CTGTCGTGACGTCAAAGTTAGTGAAATCTTGTCATGTACCTATGAAACAGTTGTTTACACAACACTTATGCGACAAGCAACTGCCCTACTGTTCAAAATAGTGGATACGGTCCACTCGTCCACAGGCGAAGTCCAGCCAATGCATGGACCTTTGTAACCTCGTAAATTATGCTGGGATCTGTGTTGTTCATTTTATTCTCTGGACTTCTATCAGGCAATGCGAAAGTGTCACTACTGAGTTCTGCATGAAGGCACACAGTCGAGTTTATTAATATTTCGGAAGTCTTCTACCCAACTGGCTGTATTGTTATTCGATTTCTGCTAGAGCGCATCAGAAACGGTGGATTATCGAACACATGACCTTATCTCATTTCTTGCCGCCACTGTGCGCACATGCTTGGCTGAGAGACGGATGGTCTCTAGTTCGACAATCTGTCTCAAACTCTTACAGTCTGCTGGGTGTGAACACAAACTAAAACTAACGGTAGCACCGAGCAGAATGCAAATTTCCGGTCGGTAGCACTAGGGGTGCGTCAAGATTGTGCTGGGGTCATGTCCTTGTGTTGTCCATGCTCCTTAAGGCATGAGTCTGTATCCAATCTTCGGCTAGATCGCAGTTGGTAGCCAGGAATGGGGAAGCGGACAGCGACCTTAACCTCAACCTTAAACGTTAACCGTTAACCCTAACGGCAACCCTAACCGAAATCGTAAACGTAACCGTAACCCTTAAACATAGCCGTAACCGAAAAACCTTACCGTAATACTGAAACCCAATCGTACGCTCCAACCCTAACCGTAACCCGTAAACCTAAGCCTAAAGGCATGACCCTAACCCGAAAATCGAAAACCACCAACCGGTACCCTAATTCTAACCTCAAAAGTAAAACGGGAGCCGAATGGGTCAGATGTGCTTATGGAGCCCCAGTAAACAAACGCCCCCGCCACCTGTAATACGGGTCCTGGCTACCAACTGCGATCTAGGCCAATCATAAATTATTCTTATAATCTGTTTTCTACCGCCAAAATTTCATATTAACCAACTGTCTGCATCGAAAGCTCTTGCGAACGCTTGATTTATTTAGACTGTTTGTAATGCCTTCTCGGGAGGAAGATTAGTTTTCGAGGCGAGCTAAAATTTCTGATGCACAACTAAATGTTTAAGTTTGCACAGTTCCGGAATAACGTAGTTGTCTATGTTCTAATCTCGACATTCTGAGGAGTTTTCTGTTCCTTGTTTACTTTAACGAAAAGGTCGTACCAACCTCTTCTTCTTAGGTTGACAAAAAATCACAATTGCCTATAAGACTGCAACCACGACAATGAAACCCTTGCCCTTCTTCTATACCCCCAACCCCCAAGCTGCTGAAAATCCTCATTTTGAGGTCGACTATGATGGCCTTCCTTTCCCTCACCTGTTTATTTTCATCTAGACTGTTTGTCCCTTGTCACGTTACTCTGGTTACCAGGACTTCAAAAGCGTTCGAGTCACACGCGCTTTGCTATTCCCGAGGGCCTCGGTGAGGTTCACCATTCTATGATCCTTGCACCTTCATGGTATTTTAACATGACTTTTATGTCAGAAGCTGTAGGATTTCTTTTGCTGCTTATGAATAATAGAAGGCTGGAAGTGTAAGTCGACAAAGTGACCGAAAACGCCAAATGCTCTTCTCTTGCACAGGTCACCAACAATAGAGAGTTACTTCCGACAAAAACAAGGGAGACCGGCATGGTTCGTTTCGATTTACCTACTGCTGGTAGTAAGCAATACATTAACCACAAGCCGATAGTGCCCGGGACACAAAGCCGGACTCTGTGAGGACTAAGCAGAAAGCTCGACCGGAGATTCAGGGCAAACTTTACCCTTGTATTGGGTTTGTCATTAAGGACAGAGTGACTATCCCCCCCCCTCCCTGTGACTCCGGACACAACTTTGCGTCTGCACTTTATTGTTCACTTTCTTTGTACTTATGTTCTGTTTTTACTGGGCTGCTAATAACTGATATTCAAGATGAACATATGTTATATACAGACCTTTCTTTTTAAGAGAAACGATAGCTCATATTATAAACGTCCATCCGTGAAATCTTCTCTGCAACATTTCTCACAATATGAAATTCATGTTGGGCTTAGTCGAAATCATAATGATAAAAAATCGAAGTATGAAATTTGGCGGGCAGATTGGTTTGAATGAATAACTGTTGATGGATTGCAAACTGGTATGTGGGATTGCGAGGCCACAACGTAAAGGGGCACGCAGCGGAGTATGGGCCTCTTCGCCTCAAATGCCGGGCTGACCATCAGCACGGAGAAGAAAGTGGTCATGTAGAAAGGAGGATCAAATTTTGATTGCACCGAACCAAGTAAAGACGTCACGGGAAATCATCTCACACAGGAAGACAACCTCGAGTACGTTAGGAGTAAGTCAGACCTTCAGTGGGCTGCAACACTCCGTCCGGAATCTCCGAGCCATCATCCTCAAAGCAATAATAGTAATGTATAGGATTATTGTTTGACAACGCTCTTCTCCGTGCATTAACGTCGACAGTCTACAAAGGTAAAGCAAGAAAACTCAACCATTCGTACCCAAACTAGAGACGGAGAATAAGGACGTTTAAGCGGCCGAAAATACCTCAGGCACCGATACTATAAAAGGAACAGGCGTTTTCAACATCTATTAAGACGTGTACAGCGAACATTCAGGGTACGGATAGGCCTCAGTGGACCCTTCCGGACGCAACGTGATAATAGCAAAACCGAAATGTTCCTTATCTTAAGAAACCACCCGCCATAACATTCCTGCTATCCTGACCACTATCAGTGTCGTCCTTTCAGCCAGCGCTATGGAATTAATTCCAACTGGGCCCCAACGAGAAAGCACCTTTGAATGACGTATCCGTCTCAGAGGTCCCTGAGGATCCATCGCACCGTGATGGGTCCGCTAACAGTTCTATCGTCGTGACCGGCGATGTCCACCGTGTGCTGCACAGCAGGATGGGAGCAGGGACTGTGACTCGGGCTTGAGTTACTTGATAGCCACAGTAGACTTGTGCGGCATCTACCGCACTTTCTGCTCCCCTACCTACCTAGTCAAGAATACCGGGATCGGTAGAGGGCGCAGGTGTCTGGCACGGCGAAAACTCGCACCTTGGCGCACCACAAGGTGCAGGGCCAGGATTTTACAAATAAGAAAAATAGGGCTGTTCGGGTCATACTGGGTGGGATCACCATAGAGTCCACAGTGAGGAGCCATCGCAGCTTGATTCTTAGTCCACCAGTCAGTTTCCCAACACGCATACACACAACTGGGCTGACTTTATGGTCTGAGCTGGAGCGTCAGTTGGCAAACTTCCAAGTCACAACCTTTGGCGGACCCCGATAGCCTCAAGTGTGTCAGATCATTTTAGTGAGAAATTATGCGCTGAGTCGACTTTACTCGCGCTACACCAGCCTATACACCAGCCGTCTGTTCGAGCCGGTCAACTAACTGCCACTGGGAGTGAGAGAGGTGGCCGACAGAGCTGAGAACAGCCCGTCTGCGCGCGCACACAGGATCTCCCACACGAGGAGGTAGACCACTCAGATCTTATACGTAGTAGAGGAGCCGCATGGAGAATGGGTTGAAGAGCACACCTCCACTGGCGCGTTAGATGTCGGTGATATTGGGTCTTGGAGGTGTTCTTGTGTGGTGCATGTTTTGATGGTGATGGGGTCGTGTCTGCGGTTTTCATGAAAACGCGTGTGACCGGATAGGCCCATGTCATGTCCAGATGTGCCAGGGCAATTAAAGCGATGATGTCTGGTGTATGTTTGTGCCTCAAGCCCTGACTTGCAAGAAGTCGAACAGGCCGTTGTACGATGAGAGTGTGGACAAGATAGGTTTGGGGACTTTAATCGATTTCCGTTTTGGTGCTACTAGTGGTGGTCGCGCTGTTGAATATGGAGTTGATTGTGCTGGGGATGGATAGTTGGTGAATATGCTAGATGTGTTGATATAGCGGCGAACTCCGCTGTTGTGGATAAGCATGTGGCCAAATAGGTTCGTGCGGTGTATGAATGTGCGTGAACAATGAGGGCGGATGCGACGAGTGTACGTGAATACCCCTGACACTGGTGTGCTGATTGCAATGCGCAAGTCATCGACCAGGCCGATGCATGAGGGGGATGTGCGATCACAAAGACGACAGGTTGGGGCCGAGTCCACATCGCTTGAGGTGGGGGTATTGGTTGACGAGACGTCGGAAACGTTTAGACAGCTGGCGGGAGTGAACTCTGTGATGGTTGTCGTCGTCGCCGCGGAGGCTGTGGCAGGGATGTCGGAGATGGCAGTGATCGACGGACGCGAGATACAGGAATTCTGGCCATCGGTAGTGAGGATGGACGCCGTCTTAGGAACCATGGGGGTTTGAGTAGGGGGAGTCCAGGCGGCAGCAGTTGGGGTTGTCTGACCGGTGGTGCGTTGGGTCCGGAGACGTCCGAAGAGGTCGACCTGCCCGCAAAATGTTCGTTGACACAGCGGGAATGAAGTGAGTTGTTTAATGTTAGTGCTGCTGATGAGGGGCGTCTGAGACTTGCAAGGTTCTCCTTTTGCCTCTACAGCGGTGAACAGACTGGCTTCATAGAGTGCTGCCCCAGTCTTTACTGCTCTTCCCTAGGCCGTCCGATTCTGTGCGAAGTCTTCCCAGATCTTCGGGTTGGTTTAGAAGTCCTTTAAGGCGTCCTTGGAGCGGTTATTTGACCTCCACATCGGAGACCACCCGTAGCGACACCTGCATAGAAGAGTCGTCTTGGTAGGTGCTCATCGTTTATCCTCACGAGGTGGCCGCCCTGTCATAGTTGCAATTGCCTCAGCATGGTGTGGATGCTAAGGATTCCAGTGCGTTCCAAAACTTCCGTGTCAGGGATCTTGTCTTGCCGCCTAAGATTTAACGTCCGTCGGAGACATTCGAGGTGTAATTGACTGAGTTTCCGCGCCTGTTTCTTGCAGTGTCCAGGTCACAGCATCATATTAGCAGCGTCATCAAGATGACCACTTTGTACTTCTTCAGGTTGGTGTTGCGTTGGAGACCGTGGCGATTCCATACGGGGTTCTGCAGTCGAGCGAAAGCCTGGCTGGCGTTGGTGATCGGTCGTGCGACTTCATCGCCGACTTTGATAAAGCGTGGGAGTGTGCTGCCTACATGGGCGAAGCTGTCCACGGTCTTCATTTTGGTGCCGTTGACGTGTAGGCGGTGGACATTGTATGCAGCGTTGGGTGGTGGTTGATACATTACTACTGTCTTGCCCATTTGGATGGTCACCCCGAATTGGGCGCAGCCGGAGTCGAAGCAGTTAATGTCCCGTTGAGTGTCTGCCTCTATCGCGGTGTTGAGCACGCCGTCTTCCTCGAGGAACAGGCCGTGGACAGTAGCTGTTGATAAACGCGTTGAGAAGCTGGCCGTCGGTGCTGTAGGCGACTCGGGCCTCAGGACGCTCATCACGATAGGTGGTCATCAACATGTCGGAAAACATGAGGTTGAAGAGAGTGGGGCGAGCGCGCAGTCCTGCTTTACTCCGTCGGTTACTGCAAATGTTCCTGAGGCGGTCCCGTTGTCCGTGACGCACCATGTGCGTGGGACGCCCAAAACAGTCGAATTTCTGTATAGTTTTTCACAGTCCGTCGCGATTCACCGTGTCAAAGGCTTTTGTGAAGTCCACGAAGGAGGTAGTGTAGCGGTGAGTCCGCATTTCCTGTCATTTCTCTTGCAGCTGGCGGGCGGTGAAGATCATGTCGGTGTTTTCACGATGGAGTCGGAAGGCATGCCGGCTTTCCGACCGAATCCTCTATTCGAGATGGTTGTTGAGGAGGTTGAGAAGGGTGATGACGAGGATCTTCTCCACGATATTTCAGCGAAATTCCTCTGTGGTTATCAGAGAGTTGCCGATTCCCTTCCCGCTTTACGATCTGTGCATGCAGGATAATTTTTGACGGAAAAGCACAGGAAAGATCCATCCTAAAACCGCAATCTACCTGCTGACACGACAGTTCACCCGTCGCAAACGAGGGTGTCCACCGCTGCCACGCAATGTGGCCCCAGGAGCGGTGACTTGCGCGTGAATTATTTTGAGGTTAGGCAGGCTTGTGCAACGTTCACCGCACTCTCTCTACCTATATTTGCCTGACAAAGCCAGGATGACCAGGAGCGGGCTTGGGCTACAATGGCTGCCAAAGTTAAACCCATTCCATGGCACGCACATACAGGACACTTCTACGTAACATGACCTGCATCACTCCAATAGCAAGCATGCGACCTACCTTGCCGTGCCTGGCATAAAGACGCACGCCACGTCTGTCGCGTCTCACTTAGGTGGGAAACACACCTTTGGGTGCAACCTGGTACATGAAATGGACCCCGTCATGTGTGGTGAAAAAAGACGGACACTTTGTCCTCGTAAATCACATCGTCAAATCCCATGACGAGTTGTTTGATAAGCTTGGAGTCTCTGCGGTTTCATGAGTGAGGGAAGAGAGAGAGAGAGAGAGAGAGAGAGAGAGAGAGAGAGAGAGTGGAACCCGCACTGGGAGGATCCATCCTCACGGCATATTTGCACACCCCACTATATTACATCTGACTCACTTGCATCCACTAAGACGCGCTAGAAATTCTGATTTGCAAGTTTGTCAAGCGCCAGAGAACGTAATTCGTTTCAGGGCTGAGGCTCTACCTGAAGTGGCCCCTTTTTAATATAAACTCTATGGCATTCTCATCGACGTCCGCTCCGACTCGTCCCTAGCGCAGTCTAGAAAATATTAAACGGAGCACATGTCCCCCGCGTAGACGGTCCGTTAGGCTTTTTCGGTCACGGCGTCACGTTCACTTAAGGTCTACTCAAATTTGCTGTGCCACCAGGCACCGCAGACACAGGTGGAGAGAGTGCAGCATCTGCCGGGCGTGTGATTCACTACAAACTAGTTCAGGCGCAAATTGCAGCTGCTGGGCTCATTCCACGCGGTAGCATCGGAGGTCGGGTGGAACACCCTACGAGCTGTATAGATTGTTTGAATGAAGGGACATCCCGCTCGGATCCGGGATGGTGATGGTGTAACTGCGTGTCGGTGAAAGCAGCCGGTGTCCTCTCTACCTACCACCGACTCCCTCCCCGTAATTTTTCGCAACGTCCGCATCTCCTGCTCTCGGTACCGTCGGTACCTCCCCTACAGTTGCCCACGGCGCAACGTTCCCCACCGGCTGTTTAGCAGGCATGTCAATGTGACCCCGATATCAAGAAATGTCACTCCTCTGCCGTTACTCGCTCCATTTGAACACTAAATCGTTATCGATTATGCCCAGTTTCCACCACTTCCTATTATAACTTTGTTTACATCTAATTCTTATTCTTATTCCCTTTCGCACGGATGAGTATGGCGACGCGTTAACGACTCCATTCAGGTCGGTCTTGTCCAAAACCTGTTTCCGGTACTTCGCTGCGTCGGTATATGCTATCCTCGACGTCTTCGGCCGACACACGGCTAGTGTTTTGGTATACTGGGCAAGTAACTGTAATGCGCTTTTATCACGATTTACTATGTTAAGCGCAAATAGGTTTTGGTTCCCAATTTACTTCTGGGAGATCAAAAGGCTTCTTGGGAGCAGGTCTTTCCTGAATGTCATGTTGAATTATTTTTTTCTGTTCGCTTAAGCTCGAGCTTTACTTTGGCCGGCTCTGCAAGTAATTAAACTAAGCATGCTATCAGTGGAGGTATAAAATTTTGAAAAGGACTTTTTCGTCTACTAAATAGCATAGTTGCCGGATGTTGAAATAGGCCTTGTCACTCTAGACTACTTTCATCGAACAGCAGATTTCTTCATGCTCGGTTAAGGCAGCCAAATTGACTGTCCCACTAAGTACACTCATTCCAATATGTAGCAGACAGGTTATTCTATGAATTCGCAGCGATTGTGTAGGCGTCACTATGATCCTCTGTAGCTGACACTGACACCGCCGACTTCTCATGTCCACACTGTCCACGCACATTCACCTCACGCATCGGCCTGGTCGGTCACTTGCGAATCCATCGCACAGAGACTGGCGAACCAGTGCCTGGAGCACCCACCTATACCCACCAAGCTCGTCTCAACTGCCCACACTGCCCTCGCA